CAATTATATTAAAAATTTTTTCAAATTTTAATGCTGGATGAATTCATTTCAATTTCACAAACTTTGATATGTTATTTTAAAATAATAATACCTTTGTTTCTGGAAGATTATAAGATGATACATTTATTTCATCGATGCAATTGTCATCTGAATTATTATTTAAATTCACAATTCTGAATGCATATATGCAGAATGTAATGAAATTTCTAATTTCTAGTACTATAGGGAAAATATAATTTCAGAATTTTCTATCAGTCAAAAAAAAAAAAACAACAATTCTAACCGTTGATAGTATTAGGCCTATCCACCATATCGATACAATTTCGTTTTTTTAGCAGTTCTAATTGCTTATAAGCAATTTTGCTTCCTTCATGAAAAGCATGGAATACTTGTGTAGCATCAACATTCCTAAAAGTTGCAAAAAACAAAAAATAAAAAAAGAAAATAAAGGTTTCGAAATCTTTTTGTCATATTTTATTAAGCCAACAATTCCAGTAATTTAAAACTTTCTTTTTTTCTTTAAATTAAACTTTAATATTATCATCACAAAATTCCCTCATTATTTAACAGAAATAACAGAAATATCAGATAATTTGCTCACACATTAGCTGATAACAACTTTTATTATATTATATTGCTAATGACTTTGTTTATAATTTTTTAAAATGAAATTCATTATTTACGAATTTGCTCTAATACAAACCTGTAATGAGTAATAACACTTCCACCTGGATGCCTCCTTTGGAAATCCTTTGTTATTAATATCCATTTATTGTCAATCATTAATCTAAAATCGATCTTATCTTCATCATCCATTGCTTGATATCTAAAAATAAAAATGATTAACCATCGATAAATAACTTCCATTACCCATATTTTCCGCCAATTTACATTTCTTTTTTTTTCACAAAAATAAGTCAAGAATAATGCAAATACAATGATTTTATTTTATTTTTTTTTTTAAAAAAAAAAGCAAATCAACGTTCAAATTGTATTATTTAAATTAAAATTCAAAACATAAAATATTTTCACTTATTTTTCAAAAAATGCTGCAGCAATGCTAAAAAGAAATATGTAATAACATTTTAATTATAAAAATATGAGCAATGATATTTTAAATGATAAATGTGCCGGTAATATTTCAAAATTCATCAATTAAAGGTACTGATTATTTATAATGATCTCGTGAATGTATTTAAAATTTT